AAAGTTGCCTGGTTCCATTCTGATGTGCTGCCCTGCTGTAGAACGCGAATCGCGAATGACAGAGTAGATTGGCTTTTGAATGCAAAAGTCTGTATAACCATTCCTTCAAAAATTTTAACAAAGCAAGTAAAACGAACATCTGCGGAATACTCTAAATTCAGTATATTTCGTGTATTCTCTTCAGCCGCTTACATACAATGGGTTAAAATTTCAAACGGTTGGGAGTAATCGATGGTTAGTTGCCTTGGCTAGCCTGTCTTACCTCAACAAGGCAAAGCAAGATTGGCCACAAACTCAAATTGTGTTCATAGGTTAGGCTTCAAGACCGGATACCCAAACGCAACAACTTGGGATTGCTCTGTCTGTTGATGATCTTGAATTCTGACACCTCGGATTCGGGCACATCGAGCAGTCGAATAAATGCCGGGCAACGGAGCTGGCAGGTAATGTTGCGCAAGGTTCCGTGGGATGTGTTCTGAAATCCGAGTGGACAACCTTCTTTCTGTCCAGACAATGTATATGCTATCGCAAGTACAGTTAAACTGGTAAACACATGAGATGGAGACAGTAGAGTGAGGTTTGTCCAAATTGGATTAATGTAGTGGCTTTTTGGTTCTGTGGAGCAACGCTAGCTCAGCTGTATAGTAACATCTATTTATGGCATGACGTAAGCGACAGCAGCATCGTTTAATTTCTTCCCCTTTTTATGGCAGTGCAATGAATAACTTCTTCTTCGAAGGTTCAGTAAACTCTTCACGTTGCCTGGTTCTCTACAAATATTTTGCAATGAACTTGGCACGGTACCCAATTTCACGTAGGGTGGATGCGATACCCTGTAGTTCTTCCTCAATCGTTTCCTCTGAACAGATACGGCGGGCTCTCACAAAAGATGCACGAACCAGGGAGCGCTTGTAGCTCATGGGGCAGTAGCTGTCGAAGTTTAGGTATTGCCCCGTCCAGCTCGGTTTGTGATAAATTGATCTCAGGAGCGACCCATCTGATCTTCTTTCCAAAGCTACATCCAAGAAGTGGAACTTTCCTGATGTTTCGCTTTCCATGGTGAACTCGATCTCTGGATGACATTCATTAAACGTTTTGAGCATGCGTTCCGCTTGCTGGGCTTCGTCAACCACCACAAAGGTGTCATCAATATATCGAGCGTACAAGTGAGCTTCCTGTATAGGGTGACACAATTTGGTGTTCTCTAGATGAGCTACGAAGATGTTAGCCAAAGTGGGGCCAAGGAGACTGCCCATCGCTACACCCTCAATCTGCCGATAGAGACTTCCATTGAAATAAAATTGAACATTTTTTGTACAGATACGAATTAAGTTCTTTAATCGATGTGGTGGAAATCCCGCGCAACCTGCATAACTGCCTATGATGTTCAGCGTTTCTTCCAACGAGACATTTGTGGTGGTTGACGAAGCCCAGCAAGCAAAACGTAGGCTCAAAACGTCTAATGAATGTCTTCCAGAGATAGAGTTCACCATGGAAAGCGAAACATCAGGAAAGCTCCACTTCTTGGATGTAACTTTAGAAAGAAGATCAGTTAGGTCGCTGCTGAGATCAAGTTATCACAAACCGAGCTGGACAGGGCAGTACCTAAACTTCGACAGCTACTGCCCCATGAGCTACAAGCACTCCCTGGTTCCTGCATCTTTTGTGAGAGCCCACCGTATCTGCTCAGAGGAAACGATTGTGGAAGAACTACAGGATATCGCATCCCCCGCCCTACGTGAAAATGAGTGCCCTGACAGGTTTATTGCAAGGTATGAGGAGAAAATCAGGCCACACGAAGAGCAAACTGCAGTTTCAAAGAATAAGGTATTCATTGCACTGCCTTACAAAGGGGACGCAAATGACGGACGTTTCTGTTATTGCTTACGTCATGCCATAAAGAGATGTTACTACACAGCTGAGCTTGTGTTGCTCCACAGAAGCAAAAAGCTACTACACGAATCCAATTTGGACAGGAAGCCTCACTCTACTGTCACCGGCTTATGTGTCTACCAGTTTAACTGTGGCAGTACGTATATTGGCCGGGCAGAGAGGAAATCGTCCAGTCGGCATTCAGAACACGTCCTGCGGAACCTGGCTCGCCGTGGCGTAACATTACCTGCCAGCTCCGTTGTCCGGCATTTATTCGACTGTTCAACGTGCGAGTCCCTACGAAGCAGTCGAGGTCATCAACAGACAGAGCAACCCCAAGTTGTTGCGTTTTGTTGTGGCTTCCGCTATCCGGCATATGAAGCCTAACCTATGTAAACAACTTTAGTTTGTGGCTACTCTTGCTTTGCGTTGGTGAAGCAAGACAAAGGCTAGCCAACGCAACTAACCATCGATTTTTGGTATTGACCTATTACTCTCAACCGTTTGAAATTTTCACTCATTGTATGTAAGCTGCTGAAGAGAATACACGAAATATACTGAATTAAGATTGTTCTGCATAATTGTTCTTGCTCTGTTAAAATCTATATAGGCCACACTAACGGCAGAGCGACTTTACCTGTGTTCCTCGATTCATTCAACCGTGCTGATAGATGTACTTGCTCTGAAAGGTGTTCCCATCAAATACGCAAACATTTTACGCATCTTAACACCACAGGTCTTATCAGATGGGGCTACAGCCAGTTGCTGCAAGTGGTGCTCACTGGCGTTGTCATATTCCCCCGTTTCTCTTAGATTTTTGAGAGTTATGCAGGTATTATAGCTCTATCTGGCGAAAATCTGCGGGCTTCGTCCTTCTGATATCTGTCAACCACGAGGTGACACATTCAACCCTCTGCACTTACCTCATGCCTTCAAAAGGTTAGGCACTGTTGCGGCTCGCTGCACCGATGGATCAGGAATTTCCTTGTTGGTCGAAACTGGAGGGTCCAGGTCGATAACTATTTGATCGACTTATATTCATCGAGCAGTGGCTTGCCCCAAGGCACTGTCCTGGGACCCATTTTGTTTCTGATCCATGTAAACGATGTGCCTCAGCTGCTCCGTTCACCTTGGTCGTTGTTCGGAGATGAGTTGAACATGTGGAGAGTAATCTTCGCACCCAATGACTGTGACCTGCTTCAGCAGGACCTCGACCGCCTCTCCATGTGGTCTGTAGAGGTCAGCCTTCCGATCAACCCGGTCAAGTCACAATTTATGAGACTGGGTAAGCTTGAGCGCAGTCGGAACTACATTGTGACCAGTCAACCGTTACATCCCGCGCCTTTCGTGCGAGACCACGGTGTACTCTCACGCTGCGACCTAAAGTCCATGGACAATACGAATAGGCTTGAAATAAATGAGAATATGCGTAGCTCGGGGTGTGGATGCGGATTTTGAGCGGTTCTCCGAGCTGAGTGATTATTGTGCAGACGTTTCGTTGCCTGACTAGGCAACATCATCATTGAATCCGTATGAGGCACTGCGAACCAGGCCCCTGAAGCCGCACTGATGATGTTGCCTAGTCAGGCAACGAAACGTCTGCACAATAATCACTCAGCTCGGAGAACCGCTCAAAATCCACGAATAGGCTTTACCAAAACGGCTTTGAGTGCTCAGGCGCAGCTTCAGCACTTGGCCCGAAGAGATTGCCACTCGCCTCTTCGTCGCAATAATACGACCAATGCTAGGGTATGGCTCTCCTGCGTATTGTCCTATCACCCGGGGCGAGGTAGAAAAGCTTGAGTGAGTGCAGCATGTAGCCACCAGGCTGATTCCCAACTTACGAGGTGTGCCGTACGAATGATCGGTGTAAGAAACTAGGGCTGTACACCCTAGCTTATCGTCAACTGAGGGTTGACCTCATCATGACTCACCGAATATTACATCTGGGTGATTACCCTAGGTTGAGACCGCTGTTTCATCTGCGCACACCAAGCAGCACACGAAGACACCAGTACAAAGTTGTCGTACCGGATTTGAAGCGGGTCGCTCACCAACTCTGTTTCGAACGCAGAGTGGTGAAGGTATGGAACGGCCTACCGCAGCACGTAGTTGAGGCAAAGTCGGTGTCGGAATTTAAGAAATTCCTGGATGAACAATTTGCTGATGTAAAATATGTCGAGTGCACCACAACATAACGGGTCTTTGTACCTGAGTGATATTAGGTGCAGCTACACAAAGAGATCTCTTCTTGCTGTTTCCAACCAGTAATTGGGATCACTGGCCACCTGTCAGCGCATCAAAGATAAGGTGCGGGCGCCACCTGATCGATTCACCCATGTTGACACTTCATTTGCGATGGCAGACGCGTAACTGCCTGTGTTACTTCCCACACTGCAAATTAGTGCCCTAGATCAACAACTCAATGCGAGTGGATTACGTTGGCATGACCACTTGCCACACATGCCCTATTGCCGTGAGAGCTTTGGTTTTATTTACTTGCTTTAACATTGTGTAAGGCTCGAATTGACGATCGTCAGTTTGGCAGAGTTCATGGAGACGCTCGGCCTCCAGATTGAGCACTTAGTTCATCCCTCCTTCCATGCTGGGTTCCAGCGACCCATATTATGCTTAGCCGGCTACTCTGCTGTTAGCTCCCGATCGCACTGCATAGTTAACATGTATATTCGATGTTGCGTTGTCAGTACAGTCAGGTTAACCATGACACCGACCATTGAAAGCTGCGAGGAAGTTGTGTCACCCACATCACCTGATCCTCACTTGATAGTTAGCTGTCTGTATATGTCTTATTTCCGCATGTTTGTTTAGGACATGTAGGTCTTACTTCGCGTTTCCTTTCCCTCCCACTTAATATTATTCCTCTTTTAGAGCTCCTATGGCTGTGTGGCAGCAAAACGCTAACGCGGGATGCTGTTTTGATTTCTATTTTGTTGTTGACTGTGATGATGGCGATAACGCTGTTCATAGGGTCCAGCAATAATGCTAACTTTGTCAATAAAGCTATCCTTCCCTATGCGACGTCATTGGACCGTAAATGATTCGTTTCCGATCCATTTGTCTGTCTAGTGTTCTTCTCACACACACGCACCTGCCCTCCATCGTCCTAGGTGTCACTCTTGTGTTGGCGGGCACCTTCACCTCTGCTTGTCAAATGATTATTGAAGAAGTGTTCCTCAAAAAACGTAGTTGCCATCCGCTGCAGGTCGTCGGCATGGAGGGCCTATTCGGCACGCTTATGATGATCACTGTGAGTCTGTCTGTTTATCCGTTTCTCCTCCACTCTGTTAATCCATGCCGATTTGCTTAAGCGTTCCTCATGGCGGCTGTCTATTCTGCAGTATTGACAAGTTTGAATTATTTTCGGCATGTGTTTCAACCAATACCTGCCGAGAGTATGTTCGATCCATCTGTGATCACAACGATTAGGGAAAGAGTCAACGATCTCGGTTCCATGATTTCTTCTCACGTCACCTGCGCGCCCGATACATCGAGTGCTTCTCCAATGTCAGATAGTAATTTGTTCTGGGTCGGAGTCAGAATCAGGTCAAGTAATATTCGATTCTGATAGAGTTCGCACCCGTAACTCGACTGTTACCAGTGCGTGCTTGAGATCACTGAGCTACGGGGGACTGTAACGACCATCGTGAATTAGTTACTAGATGTGATATAGCGCCGCTCACTATCCATTGACTTACACGTTACTGCCGTGCAGAGGACAGGGTAGCCCCCTCACCAAGCGACGAGCTTACCAAACTTAAGTCGCCCATTAACTTATGGCATTATAATCAGTTTAGTCTGCGTACTGATTACAGAGGAGTAGTAGGGGAAGTTGCATGGATGAAACGCGCGTACAGTGCTTTTCCGGGCGTGTGACGGCTGTCTGAGTGAATGTAGATGTGACGAACTTCCACCGATACCATTCAACTCCCCCTACTACTCCCCTGTAATATTCGATCATTGATCACTGTGTGACTGAACCCCCTGGGCACTTACTGTCACGCTCATCAGCTTGCCTTCAGTATCTGAACTTATAATGTGTGGTAGTATCCCCAGTGCATGTGATGTGCTTGTGTGTGCAATCAGGTAGGCATCCGCTGTACGCGGGTACGGAGTACTTACGCTTCGCTGCCGCGCAACCACCACCAGTCGTACTTGGGCTAAGAATATTGCGAGAGTTGCCCCGTCCCTACGGAGGCTCGAGTCCGCGCACTTGGATTACAAGGCAGGCTTGTTATCCTTAAGTCTACGGGCTGGCGGAATAGGATGAGAGACGGACTGGTTAGAGTTCTCCACTGTTCGACCAATACTTTAGCAAAGGTTGGGTGTGGATCATTGGAATACAGCCGAACGGAATACGCTTGCGGCATGTTAGACTTTACTGCCTTTAGTAATTTAACTGTATCTACCATCAGTAGCATTTTATATTTTCTGCTCCACCTGTTGTGCTTAGGGAGCGTTCGCTAGTTGGTGACAGTCGAACTTTGATCTTCTGAAGGAGTACCGCTTCGACGCTTTTCATCTGTCTTACGACGCTATTTTCTAAGTAAAGTTGTCCTTGTTTTTCAGAAAGTGGACCTTCTTTGACTTGATCGTCCTGGATATCAACCAGGAGGCATTTGATAGCCATTTTCTGTTCAAACTTTATAAGTGAATTTTATTATAACGGCAGTCGGAGAGGGACTGTCGCATGCAACTGATGAGTTCAGTGACACTCCTCACTCGCAAAGATATGTTGCCGCGGGCTCCCAAAAGCCATCCGGGCGTTAAGCCTATGCGTCAGATGTGTATTTTCGTACCTACACAGCGTATCAACATTTCTTTGGCCTTCTGCACCTAAGTGTTGTCTCATTAGTTTGATGTAAAGATCTGTACTTGTGAAAAGTTCCAAGTAGTTTGGAAGATTCGTTTCTAACGGTTCCAAAACTGCTAAAGCTGGCCTGAACGATGTGTCCTTCCAAAACTGTCCATAGCGAATAATTCCAACTTTGATCTTAGCCAATGTTGCAGTCTAGCGCGTGCGAAACTGCTGTTTCCGTAGGGGCGAGAAATGGCCCGTACCCAGCACAGCGTCGAACAAGAGACGTCAGTTAGACGCAGTGCAAAGCTAAATGGTAACAGGCGTTTCGTACAACGCATCGATCATGTACTTTAGACTGCTTCGATAAATGAGTGGTTTAGCCTTAAGGATCACCAACCTGCCTTGTAATCCGAGGGTGCTGGTTCGAGCCTGCGTATGGTCTGAGTGACCTACGCTGCCCATGTGCGCCTGGTGGTGGTTACGCGGCAGCAAAGCTTCGGTACTGCGTACCGGCGTATTGCTAATGCCAGTGGTTTGACGATAGGCGGACACTCATATGCGCAAATGCGGACAACCAATAGGAAGTGCTCAGCCTTCAGTTAAGTAGTGGCCACGCAGATGCCATAATCATCACTGAACCGTAATATGTTTCACTTTGTTCTCTCCTCCAAAGTGTGCCACAAGTAACTCCTATCCCACAATGGTAATGAATGGTCCGAAAATCGAGGGCAATTTCACCTGACCCACCATGTTACTGCCTTTCGGATTACTTGAATTGAGCTGGAAAGTGAACTTCATGACTGTTATTATCGAAGGTATCCGACCTGTAGTTACTCCCTTGGAGTGAAACAAGCTGCCTGCACCCAGAGATGGACCATGCCTGTCGTTACTGAATGACATTTGGGACTCACTACACCATTTCCCGGCCAAGTTGTCCTCTTGGGCAACAGAAATAATCTGAGGGGGCATTCAACATGAGTCTACTCAATTAATTTGTTCTGTGCGTAGGAGCAGAAGCGTCCCACCTGCACCCCTATGACTTAGTGCGTCTGAGGTCCGATTGGCTGAAGGCGACGGGCTATACACGCACACCTACACACCTGCACATGTGACTGGCGTACGCACGGAACAAATTAATTGATTAGACTCATGTTGAATGCCCCCTAAGATTATTTTTGTTGCCGGAAAATGGTAGAGATGTCAATCTTGCTATCGCAAACACTGAAATGGTACCTGCATCTTAACGGCTATCAACCGTTACCTCTCCCTTCGAAATTGAACCTAGAACGTCATGCAAGCGCCATCGATGCAACAGCCTTATTGCCATTGTCGAACAATTATTCACTTCAGTGCTTTATTGAACGTCGTGCAATTCGAATACGTTACCCCTTGACTAGCTTCGGTTAAGTGGATTAAATGTATTCACCGTATATTTCCGTGTACAGTGTCATGCGCAAAACAACTCATTATAAATAAATAAATAAGCTTTCTATTCTCGACAACGCGAGGCACACCTTTATAGGCATGCTCATGTTATGCTAACAATGTGTGAATAAAAATGTACAAAAATACATGTTTACCATAACAGTGAATCTGTGTATGGATGTGTATGTAATTGTGTATATGTGTAGCTTGTGCTTGTAAGTGTGCCGTTGTATTCGTGACTGTTTGATTGCGTCGGCGATGTAAGGATAGACGATTGATGTCCGTGCATTGGATATACTTATCCAGATATCCACGGGGGTGACTTGAATTTGTGGCGCGTCACATTCGCCACGTCACAATGTTGATAAACGGACAGTTGTGGCTTTTTATTGGGAGAATACCTGCCAGGCGAAGACCCACCATCTATTGGAACACTGCCGCTGAACTATTTGCTGGAACGGGATTAACCCGAACCACCCAGCTGGCATCACGAGGAGGTTGTTCGGCTAGCCAGCCGATCACCACAGCTTGCGGTACAACCTATGCTGAGGTTCTATACTTGGAATATATAGGCGACTCTCTGATACTAATTTATCTGAGTTAAGTCTAATTGTGACGCAAGACAATGAAACATACAAGGTGGCTATCTCGTAGATGCACTCTTATCTTCACGCGGTAGCCAACTGTTTCTTGTACTTGCTTTGCTTATGAATGTTTGCTCTAGGCGTTCAAATGTAACACTAAGTCTTCTACCTTTCCCTCATTTTTTAAGTCACTCTAGCTATGTGGTAGTCAATCATCTGTTCAACTTGAACTGATGTACTGTTGGTGATGCAACGATAATGGCGCTTAGGTCGAAACTACGTCCACTACATCCTCCCTTGGATACAGCGCCCTAGTCTGAGCGAAAGATTCGGCTCTTGTGGACTGTGCCCCGTGCGTACAGCTAGCTGATCGAATTCGTATTGATGTACCACACTGCACAGCTATGCGAACGAGTAGAAGAGTGACCTTCAATGGAGGTGCTTTTACAGCTCAAGCCAGAGGTGGCTCACGGTCTGTACCGCTTGGTATTTAGACCGCTCCTAGCAGCTTTATCGGAAGGTGGCGTAGTTGTCACCTGATAACGGGAATGAAATTGGTTATCCGAGTGACATGACTGCCACCCAATAGTGGTATCGCTGAGAGGATCACGCAGTCGCTGGCTTGATAACGGTGTCTCTGGGATGAAGATGAAGGTAATTGTCACCGGATAACATTGTTGCACACATGTCCTTGCGTAATCCTTCCACGGCAACAGTATGCTGAATTGGGACGTCATAATAGGACGTTCGCCGAGTGGCTTTTGCTGAAACGTGAAATCTCCACAATATCTACAAGCGCTACCGCGTACCCTGGCGCATATCGCCGCACACTTTGCCATGCGCTTCACACCTCCAAAGTGCAAAGTACTGTTGTATAATTAGGCTGACACCACTTCTTACCATCACCCAACAGCCTGTCGAATTGCTCGATCGATTTGCTTATCGAAGTAGGTGTATCAGCCTTGATAGTCACACCCCTGCAGCGACCATTGCACCCGCTGATGCAAATCTCGTGTGACTTTTCAAAACCTCAGCCACCTACAGAAGAGTCTTAGTTTGATTTTATTGCAGGTGTTTGTTACGCTGCGGAGTATTGAGGACATTAAAGGACTGACCACATCTGAACATCGATGTCTGCAGAATATTGCTCATGTCTGGTGCACCGATCGTAAGGGTAATGCTGAAGTTTATTGTGTTATGGTCACCAAGGTCGCCCGGGCGATCCGATTGATTGCTCGCTGAAACTTGCTCGCCAGCAATTGGTTGATCAAAAAGGCAAGGTCGTAGACACAGTGTAATGGCCGCCAGACACGGGATGATTACAGAGCGCAGAGTACCGCTATTTACATGTTCATAGCAACCTTCCTGAACATTCTCTGTTCTTTTCTTTACTTACAAATAATAGCATTAGATTGTGCTAGAACATTCTTTTGATTAATC